CAAATGACCATTTGAAATTCTATTGGGTCATAAACTTGATTTGTCTGTTTTAAGAAATTTTGGTTGCAAAGTTTATGCCCTGAACAATGGACCCAACAGAGATAAACTTGATCCACGTTCCTTTGAAGGAATTTTCATTGGCCATCCACACTCTCAAAAGGGTTATAAAATATATGTACCCTCACTGCACAAAACCATTGTGTCAAGATATGTTTTGTTTCATGAGAATGTATACCCTTCCACTTCTCAAAAAATCAGCCAGCAGTAACTTGTTTTGATCAACCAGTTCCAGATGAACATGATCAGTCATCTATGAATCCTACACCTTTTGATCATCTTAATGACAGTGATGATTCCTCATCAAGAGAACCCACTTCAACAGTAAATCCTCATTCATCAGAACACTCTCCTTCATCTTCTTCCTTAATCAACTCAGATACACCATCTCCCTCACCTGATCCTACCAATAACACACTTATTCCTCCTTCTAGAATTAGTACAAGAGACAGAAGACCACTTGTCTGGATGGCTGACTATGAAACGTCGTTTATTTGCATTAATCCATCCATAGGATCATCTTACACTCACACACCTACATATAATACTTTTGTTGCAAATGTGTCTGCTTCAACTGAGCCTAGTACTTATAATCAAGCAAGAGTAAATCCTAGATGGGTTGAAGCAATGAATAATGAACTTATTGCCTTAGAAACCAATGACACTTGAGAATTGACTTCATTGCCTGTTGGAAAAAAACCTGTGGGATCTAAATGGGTCTACAAGATTAAGAGAAATGCCGATGGAACAATAGATCGTTATAAAGCAAGGCTGGTAGCCAAGGGATACACTCAAATTGAAGGGGAGGATTTTTGTGAAGTTTTCTCACCGGTTGCCAAGATAGTCACAGTTCGTATGATTTTTGCTATTTCAGCTTCAAAAGGATGGTCAATACATCAATTGGATGTAAACAATGCCTTTCTCCATGGCAGCCTAGAAGAAGATGTGTACATGTTGCCACCCTTGGGTTATGATAAAGCTCAACCAGGGCAGGTTTGTAAGCTCAAGAAGTCACTGTATGGCTTGAAGCAAGCTTCAAGACAGTGGAATCAAGAGTTTTCCTCCAAATTGATTGCTTATGGATTCAAATAGTCGTATCATGATACTTGTCTGTTTGTTTATGCTGATCAACACTATGAACTCTGTCTTCTGATATACGTAAATGATGTTCTTATTACTGGAAAGGATGCTACTGCAATTACTAAGGTGAAGATTTACTTGAATGATCTGTTTACCATAAAGGATTTAGGTCATACAAAATATTTCCTTGGGATACAAATTGCACGATCTGTTGCTGAAATTTACATCCACCAGCGTAAATACATTAAGGATCTTCTTGCTTCAACTGGTGTTCTTGACAGTGCACCAACTTCTACTCTATTTCCTCCAGGATTCCATTTTGTCTCAGAAAATAAAGATGTTACTTATGCAGTGCAACAGCTCAGTCAACATGTACAGAAGCCACACTTATCTCACTGGATCACTGTTCACCATGTACTCATATATATCTCTGGCAGCATTGATCAAGGTCTTTTCTATCCATCAAAATCTTCCTTTGATGTCCGAGTTTACAGTGATTCAGATTGGAGTTCCTGTAGAACAAAAAGGCATTCCTTGACTGGATACTGTATTTTCTTGGGGACAGCTTGATCAGCTGGAAAAACAAAGAAGCAGAATACAATCTCATGCTCCTCAACAGAAGCTGAGTATAGAGCAATGGCAGTAGCAACAAGAGAACTACAATGGATTATGTATATGCTCCGAGACTTCTCAATCTTTCCTCCTCTACCAGTCCCTTTCTATTGTGATAATCAAGCTGCATTGTACATCACAGCCAATCCAGTCTTTCACGAAAAAATAAAACACATCGATATTGACTGTCACGTCGTTCGAGATCAATACAAATCAGGCTTGTTACTTCCTTTACATGTTACTTCTTCTCTTTAGTTGGCAGACTTCTACACTAAACCTCTTTCAATTGCAGTTTTTACTTATTTACTGTCCAAGATGAGCTTGTGGAATGCTCATCTTGAGAAGGGGGTGAAGGAATATAATTAAAAGAAACTTCAGTCCCAAATTTCGAACTCAGCACCTTCTGATGGAGCACAGGAGTACACTGATTATGGTTTGCACTCGATCCAAGCTTATATGCAGGACAAAATCCTTTGATCTTATCTAATCACCTTAGCAGCTTCTTGGTAGTTTCCTTTAGGTCCTTAACATGTAAATTTAGTTGTTCTTTTTCAGCAAGTAATCCATGTATATATATATACATGTGTAATCCGAGACTTCATATGTATGAGTGAATGAATGATTGATTAAGCTGTTGCTCAAGATCTTCTTCTTTATTTCAATCAGTAATTAAGAATCTGTCTTATCAAATGATCTGAATCCTAAATCTAAGAGTAAAGCTTGCAAAGGACTAGAGGTAATGTAAGATATTCTTTTAAGCATTGTTTAAAAGACAGATTAAGAGCAAATGAACAGTCCAGTGCAATGTTGGTGCAGATATTAAGGGGAAAATGGGCAAATAGATCCCTGGTCGGGTAAATAAAGTGTAACACGTGAATGATAATAGGGAAGAACCTTTCCAACTTTCTTACGTCCCAAGTCAACAAGCATAATGTGTTCTCACATTGTTTTTTCATCATGAAGCAGCTGAGTTTCAACATGTAGTCTTCTTCTGGTGTCTTTCCTCGCCTCGAAGCACCTGCTAGCGGTATGTTACCCTGCAACATTCAATAAACTCTGGCATGGAAGATCCATAAAAGAAGTACTAATATCCATTCTCAACATTCAACAAACTCTGGCATGGGAGATCCATAAAAGAAGTACTAATATCCAAGAGAATGCAGATAAAAATCATTCTTTTTTATAATTGACCAACCAAACATATAGTTGTGGAAACTAGATTTTCAAGTAATACAGACAACTTGAAATCAACTCAACTGCTCTAACTATTGTCTCTAATGTTTGAGTGTGCCCACTTGCCTGGAAATTTCACCTTTATCTGTGCAGAAGATGCCCAATACTGTGGTATTATTGTTCAAAGTCTTTCCTGATGAAACACCACTAGAGTTTCCAGGGCCGCCACATGTATAGAGAACTCGGCTTCAGCATTGTCCTAAGATTACTGATAACAAATGAACTGACTCTGCAGACAGGACAGCTGGAGTGAGTGCAAGAAACAAGGTATACCGAGCAAGTGTTTCATCCATTCGCCTTAATCATTACTGTCGAATTGAGTAATAGGCAATAGGAGTCCATTGTCAAGGAAATTCATTACAGTTCTCTGGAGCTCAAAAGAAAGATCATAGGGAATACTAGCCTCATGTACACATCAAGTCTGGCTCCTATATCTGTAATACAGCTCAAGAATCTTATGACCAGTGAATTGAAGGGAAAAGAAACAAATGAAACCCTATAATACAATCACTACAGGACACAAATGTGAAGATTCTCATGTTGAAATTGGGGGAAAGCTTAGAAGCATGACGATCAATATCTTTTTGTTTAGGTAAATAATAAAATATACTGCTCCAACTACACAAATCCTGTACACGGATGGATTTCATCACTGAATTTACAACTGAATTTGCTCAACTTAGAAATCACCTAATAAAAGTAACAAAACTGAAATGAAGCAAAGCTAACAGAAGGGAATCTGCTACACATTACACAATTATGCCTCTTCATATATTATTGATCACAACTTCTGAGCTTTTGATGACACCACCAATTAACTCTCCATTGAATTCCTGTTGAATATCTTTGACCAGAGTCTGAACTGGAATATATCCCCCTTCACATATCCTAAAGGTTTCTCATTTTCCACTAACGGTAAATTCCAGAAAAAATCACGGCAAATGCACCTTCTATTTCAAATCAATTTCCAAGCAAACATCACCCTTTTTCAGTTCTTCAGAGCAGCAGAGATATTCTGAATAAACTGCCGTTCCATGAGTTTATCCTACGGCTTTACAGTTTTAAGAATAAATATTGTGCAGTCTCCTGTATCTCACAACAAAGAACACAACTCAGGTCACCAGTGTGCACATTTATTCTACAACCATGCCACAAAACAGCGCTTTTGTAAATTGATTCTATTTTAACGGCCTTACTTACTCTCCTGATCATATGTTTTCCTTGTAACCGTTGATATCCAGATTGAAGCAAATATGTACCATTTCACATAAGCAAACCACTTGTCTTGACATAACCCATTGCTCAGTTTGTCTGTGATTCTGAGAAGCTTTTTCAGTGGCAGCTGGTATCACTCTTCTTATTCACTTCCCTACATAGAATAGCAAGTTATCAGCTTTGTTAGTGCACAAAAACACTGTGAGCTTGTTGCATGACTTTTAAACATAGCAGAATGATATTGTTCTTGGGACGACTTACAAGTTTAGCTATGACGTTGGAGATAGGATAACGATCAAAACTATGGAACGTATGGCCTACAAAAAACCAGGCAGCTAATAGTTAATACAAGTTAAAAATGCCTGATTTGGTAAGTTCTGAGTAACATTTTCTTCCGGGCCAAGTAGGCACGTTGTGTCAACTAAGAGAAAGGCTTCAAGTTTAGCAGAACTGGATAACATTATTAATCTGATAGAGTGAACCAAACACTTTGTTTTTACATTTTCTGTCAACTGGTGAACTTAAAGGTGCAATTTAAGCAGACCCTTTACCATTATATGCTCCAAAGTGCCAGATTTGATTTAAACAAGTAACTTCTCATATCAATGATCTCAGGAACATTGCAACAGGATGCTGAGTAGCTATTTGATTTATACCATTTTTCCCCATGTTTCTTAACTTCAACCTTGTCTCCTTTACTGTCAGTTAACAATGTCGAAAGATTCTATTCGCTTACAATGGACAAATGTGAATATTTCTTAAACCATATCAAACCTTCATGCAAGACAGATGAATGGATTTTTCTGCATAAACAATCTTAACAATGTCTGATGTCTCCCAAAGAAATTACAAGCACCAATTCTCTGACTTTCTTCCTGTTTCTTCCAGAAACTTTTCTTCAAGAATTTGTCTTCTTATTACATGGATATGACTGCATTATTGTAACTACATCTACGTGTTGCTAAGGAGGGTGCTAATGATTCAATAACTGGAAATTATAAAGAATGATGAAATTTTCATATGATAAATATCCCCAGAATTGTCAGACGAAGGATTATAATCTGACCAAAATGATTACATCTCAATACTTCAGAGAATAAACAGCAAATGTAAATGTAGCTAAGGATAGCTAAAAGAAAACCCACCAAATGTGTGGAACCTGAATCTATATCTTAAATTACATGAATAGAAAAGCATAACAAAAACTTAGCCTCCACCAGTAATACATCTCCTAAAGTTCATGTGACCAATGGAACCATCCTTCTTCTTCATCTTCTTGAATTGTTTAGAAGCAGCTCTCAGAACCTTTCCCCATCCCTAAAACCAATCATTTTGAAATTCTTAGACCTGCTTATGCATAAATAGTAAACAGAAACAGATAAAAGGACAAAGAAAAAAAAAAGTAGAGGTGATTTTATACCTTTCCAGGAGTACGAGGTAAAGGAGAAAATTCCTGACTCTTCCTCTTTCGCTTCTTCAAGTTTTGGTACATTTGAAGATTATCCTTTACAGTATCAGTGAACTTTCTCTTGATATTGGCAGTCAATGCCTTGATTCCAGTGACCCCTTTAAACTCATCATCATCATCAAGTGCAGGTTTTTCCGGTAAGTCGTCGGAGTTTAGAAGATTTCTGGTGGAGGGACGAGGGATCAAAGGGGACCAAATAGAGCTCTGAGAGTCATCGAAATCAAAGGAGGAATCGGTGAACTCCTTCTCAACATTCACAGTCAAAGACTTGGTTTTTTTGAGCCCATTAAAGCCATCTTCATCATGTCCGGCGGGATTTTCCGGGATACCGTCGCCGGAGTTCTGAACATTTCTGGAAGAGGGACGGCGGATTAACGGCGACCAAATAGAGCTCTGAGAGTAATCAAAATCAAAGGGTGAATTGTCTGGGAATTTACAGAGCAGACCTTTTGACATTGAGCATTCCAGATATTCCACCACCTTAACCTTGCTGCAAGAACCGTAATAAGGTTCTGCCGCCAAATCGGAGTTCATCATTTCAGGTGCAAAAAATATTTGGATCTGGAAAAAGGAAGAATCAAAATAATGGCAAAAGGTGGAAAAAAGGAAAGAGAGAACTACAAGAAAAAAAAAGAAGAACCAGGGGAAAGGGGTCCGCTAGGTAGAAGACACAAAGAAAACTAGCCGTTACAGAGTTTAAAGAATTAAATATTGCAACGGTTTAAACAAAAACTGTATACAAAAACTTGCAGGGTTCATGTGGGATGTAAAAAAAAATACCAATCTGCTATTAATTGGACTAGTAGAACATAAAACTCTGAGATCATTAAGAAAGTATTATGGCACTAAGAGAGATAAATGGGCTTGATTAAGATGCTAATGTATAAAATCCTAAGCCACATTACTAGTTCATTATGTTGTTGCTGCCAATGTTGTTTTAAATATCCAATATGAAGGTTGATAATCTGAGATCTTTCGCAGCGGTAAAGTACTAAACCCCGCGAATTAACTAGTCTGAGTTTCTCTTGATAGTAAGAGTATTCTGCACTCCTATGTTACCCGGACTCTTCTATTTGGGGAGAATATCCGTGTCGTGTCGTGTCGACTCGACACTGGTGTGGGTATGAGTGTCGGGTATGGCAATTTAGTCTAAAATATTCAAGATTTCTAATATATGACGAATCGGACACTCAGATCCCCGCACCCGATACGACACCCGTATCCGAGTCCAGGTAACATAGTTGCACTCTGCAGTATAAACTATAAAGGGCCTAACTAATCGGTATTGTTCAGGTCTTTCTTGGATGAAATTTCAGTGCTACTGGAGACTCTCTTAAGAAGTGATTAGAATTGAAAAGATAAGAAATGAGACCTACAACTACAAATCAGCACTGGATGCCAATGTGAAGGTTCAATTGTTTGAATTGGAGAAGGGCTTGGAAGCAATTCTTATTATGAGGTCTTTCGGAACATCTAGCAATAAATGATTCAGAATGGTCCATGTGCAACTTTTCTAATTAGGTAAGGCTTGTCTACTATTATCTGCAATATAATTAACATGGCCTGATTTTGTCAAGTAAGAATTTACAGCGAATTCCAGAGAACAGTGACAACTGAGAGGAGGACAGAACTTTTAAGATTAAGGAAAGAAGTACAAATGCTGATTCTAGTAATTAAATTGAAACCACAATTCGTCTTGTGATTACTTTTTCTGATATTGTATCAAACAGAGCAAACCCTTTAGGCCTAAACCATTCAGTTGTTGGAAAAAAAAGTGTATTGGAACCAAGAGGGCAAAATTCTGGAATGAGTTGTGCGAATAATCTCTCATATCAATGACCTTAAGAACCTTACAACAGGTAAGGTTAGCTATAGAGGTAGGAGTATTCCCTTCTATAAGATTACTTCTCCTCTTTGTCTCTTTTACTGTCAGTTAACTACATGAAAGATTCCACAAACTTTTGCCTCATAGAACGAACCAACCAAATTGTTACCTAGATCATGTCCAACCATGAAGTAAGACACAGATGAATATCATTCTTCTTCTGCAACAACCTTAAACATGTGTGATGTCTCCAAGACAAATTACAAGCACCAACTTTCTGACTTTGGTGTTGTTTCTTCTAGAATATTTTTCTTCACCAATTTATCTTCTTTCATTGTCTCATCTGCAATAAGGACAAGCGGTGACCATGTGGAAAGAACAGAACAATAATATTGCCAACCTCTTTCCTCATTTTGGTTAGAAAATATGGAGGGGACAAAACAATTTAGTTATTCAATTTATGATCAAAACCATTGCATTTCGGATAACATGTCAAGCTTCATCTATCTTTCGTATGACTATCGTAGCAACTACATAATCATTAGTGGCTTGTTGCAGGATTTGTGGTCAATGATAAGCGCTCTTTCCATCCCCAAAAATGATCATTAGTTCAACAAAAAGTAATCCTTTTGGGATAGAGAGAGTATAAAAAACATTCTGATCAAGAAAATTGTTAAAATAATCATGGGAAACACAATGTAAACAGACAAGTATCCTTGATTACGAGAAGCAAATGGCCTTCCAGTTAATCAAGTTGGAAGAAGATAAAAGAGAAAACCAAAAAACGCAAGCAAAAAGGATTGGATTGGATTATTTGACCTAAAGCAAAAATGCTATCTCTGAAATCAATAAAACTGTATCCCATTTACACCACCGCAAATCTCATTTATACAAAAATTGGAGTCATAGATGATCTCCTCCGAAATTAGTCAGAACCTCTGCCTTTTGCCCAATGAAACAAAACAGTTTGCATTTGTTCCAGCAGAAATCAACCTATCACTACCAAGAAATGATCCAGAGGGTCCATAAGCAAAGTTCAACACGGAAGTTGAAAGCATTTGTGAGGATGCGCATGACATTTCGGAGTACGGCCTCGAGTTCATCATCGGTGTGGAAGAAGCCATGGGGCCGATATTTGCCTTGGATTTCATTTTCACAATGTCAGCTTCACAACCTTTGAGTGAAACAGGAGGAATGTTGAATGTCTGAAGCTGTGGAGGATTACGCCACCGGGGAAGCGGACCGGCAACAAGAAGATTATGAAGGAGCGGCCCTGCTTCAATGACTGACTTTAAGAGCATCCCTTTAGGAGGAAGATCTTTCCCCTTAGCAAGACTGTCAATCACCAAAGAGGCATGATCAGGTTTTGGTAAACCAGATGGGACTATGTTGTTGTTGTTGTTGTTGTTGTTGGGGATGATTGGAACTTTGCGATCCTGAATCAATGATGGTTTGACATATGGGATGCTGCTTGAATCACCCATATTCATGTTTGACAATTCAGGGGATGAGACATTGTCAAAGAAGCAATCACCAGGGGATGAATTCTGGGAATGATAGTTATATGTTTCAGACAAGCTGTTGGATTCAGTAATGCTTGAGTTTGCTTTGGTTGTTGGCATCAGAAGTGGACTATCAGGTTGGAATTGAACCAGACTGGACAACAATTCAGTTTGATTTCCAGAAGGGATCATTCCTTTGGTTAAGATCTTCCGAAGCAGATCCTTTGCTTCATCTCGTTCTTGGCAAGCCATGGTCAACATGTTCATTAATTTCTTCATAGATTCCTTCATTTGCTCAAGTTCAACTGTTTTGCTGTGTAGTTTCTGCTGCAACTCATCAAAGCTCTGCAACATCAGCACGTGAAACAAAAAGTTAGGTAAAAGTATATCAAAGAACAGAAATTTGCATCAGTCAAAGATGAAAAATCAGTTCTTGCTGGCGGCCTAATCAACTTAGGAACAAAGTAAATAGAAAAAAGAGTCCATGAATATGAGTCAACAGTATTCAGCATAATTACACAATTAACAAATGAACTTAGCAATAAGAGTGAAATCAGGGGTGGGGGAGAGTGGGGACCAAAGGACCATCTATTCAGTCAAACGTTTCAGTTCTGCCTACGCAAAAAGGAGAAAGAAACAATGATATTTTCTCATTGGATCCCAAGCGAAAAATAACATTTCTTGCTTTTGGACAAATAATGATTGTTGCTTGAAATTGTCAGAGATTCCGATGAACAGTCAAAAAAAACAATAATTCCCGGAACCCACAAGCAAAAAACCATGATAATGTTACAATCACAGAACAGAAGACCATTCTGCTGGAACAGAGAGAAACAGAGAAATCCAACTCAGGGATAGGGAGGAACACAATAAAAATGCGATCTTTGTGAAAGAGGAATCTTTTACCACAGTTTGAACCTTTCAAAAGAACATTTCTTCATCCATAAAGGTTTGAAAAAAAGAGGGCTCAGTACTCAGGAATAGACCAAAACAACCAAAAAGGGAGACTTCAAATTGAAGAGCAACCGCATAATTGGTTAATTAACAAGATGGGTTTGTCTAAATTTTGTGAAATCTCCACAAAGGATTATGTATCAATTGAGTATAAAAAAAAAGTCCTCCATTGAACAAGTTCAATTGAATGTACTAAAGCCACCACATAAACTGAAGCAGCTATAAATGCCAGAATCCATAACCAGCAAGAAAAAGAGGGATTTTTTAGTGAGTGAAAATACAAAACAACCCACCTCAACCATCTCATAGCCCCACAAAGAACCAAGTTCCTCCATTTTTTCTTCAATACTGACAATTAAACTCTGCAGAATTTTGAGTCAGGAAACAGAGAGACAAAAGGAGCAAAATCTTGAATGTTGTTAAGGAAGAGGGAGGGTCTGTGGAACGTGGGTTGGCGTCATTTATAGAAGGGAAAATGGTGACTGAGAACTTAAAAAAAAATTGGAAGGGGAAATTATGATTGGTCAGTGGGGACTGAATACTTTACAAACTTGTACTAGAAAGGAACAACCAATCCACATCATGGAAAGAGAAAACAAAAAACAAAAAAAATATCAAATAAAATAAAATTATGGAATCTCTAAAACCTCCATTGATTTTTCTTAATGGGAATTTATTTTCGTTCCCTTCTTTCTGGGCTCTTGTCTCTTTCCATGTGCGAAAAACTTCTTTTCCTTTGTTTTTGTTTTTATTTTTTACTGTTTTCTTAATAGTCTAATTACCACGTAATTTAATCATGCGAAAAATATAGCCAGGTACCGTTCTGGATTTTTTTTTTTTTTTAAAAAAGCCCTATTATGTTATATGTTTCGGGTCCTAAAGTTATATTCTCTCCGTTCCTAAACAAAAAATAATTTATACACAAAAAATACAAGTTTCAAAATTCAATATAAGTTATTGTTTTAAAATTAAAGAAATATAATTTTAGAGCCACGAACACAAAACATAGTCTAATTCCCACATATCACAAGTTCGAAAATGTCGTATACCAATTACAAGTCTACAACAAAAAATTCTGCCACTTTCTCGGCTGTATGTGTTTTTTTTATATTATTATCGAGGTAAAAATTGAAATGGCTCTATTGATTTTTTTTTATTTTTTTATTTTGGATTTTTGTCTGAAATATTCTTCCCTCTCACACGCAGTGAATGTGTGCGACGGTTTTCATTTTGGTCCTCCTAGTCCGGCGGAGGTGAATAATGATGATGATGAATGTAAAAGCGAGCTGTTGATTACGCGGTTTTGTTAGTTAAAAAAGGTAAGTTCCCTCCATTATTCTTTTTCGAATGAATATTTGTTTCATTTTTGGAAACAATTAAATAATCGAATGGTTATAATTACGGTGAAAATTTTCCCGGTGACCAATTGATATGGTATTCCCGCAGAGGTAGCAAAAGTCGCGGATTGTGAAGATTTGGTCCAATTAAATAATATGGAAGGTTAAACATTGATGGTTTCACCGTAAACAATAAACCAGATTATTTTTTTAGACGAAGAAATAATATTGCACGTTATACATAAAAAAAAAAAAGAAGAAAAACTGGAGGCTTATGTTATGGCATGGAGATGATTTCTTAAGATATTTGTGCCTTAATTGCAAAAATAATAGGTATAGATGAACAAATAAACAATGATTTTGTATAAATCTCGATAATAGTAACTAATTCTCTCGATGTTGGATGTAAGCAATATATAGCGACAGAAAGGAGAATTTCACTAGTTTCCGGTTAGCTTGAGTAAAAACAGAGAATTAATGAGGCCGGAAAATTCGAAAAGGAAAGAAAGGATGATATGTTTAATTTCTATTGGTGGATTCTAGATGAGTAGGATAAGAAATACGTAACAATAAATCATCACCAACATCGATTTTGATCGGCACCGTCTAATTAAACTTACTTTTATCGACTTATTTTACTCATTGCCAACACATAATTCTTATGTCCAAAACTGTTAAAATTTCATAAATATAGGATTTAGCACATTTGAATTTTCAGGACATAGTGCATAAATAAAACTGTAGTTTACTGATGATGAGTTACTGACCTTGCAGATTTAATTTTTTAATAGTTACCATGCATACATAATGATAGTAAGTATCATGATCTTGAAGTCGAGAAAACATAGATATGAAAATAAATATTTACTGATCTATTCCTTTGCAGGAACAAGGAACTGTTTCTTTGAAAGAATCAAGATCAAATCTTAGCGAAGATCAGTGGTGATTAAGAGGAATGATACTCATTATGATCTATCGCACAAGTTTTTTCCCCATAAAACTTCACAATTTTGAATTTTGAATCTGTAATAATTTTTTTTTTTTAGTGAAATGTGAATGTATTTCATTGAAGCATCATCAACTGAACTTGTATCAAGAAGCTATTACAATGCCAAGACTTTCTAAAAACCTAACATCATCTCCAGTTCCATTCCTATACATATGTACAATTCTGCATTTCATTTCCTGCTGTATTTTCCTGATTCTATTCCCAGTAGCCTCATTTTTCTACTGGAACAGCCTTTTGTTCCTTTCTGTCCAAACATGGTACACCACTGCATTCAAACTAGTAAACAGAATCTGCCTTCTGGTTGCTTTGTATTTCCAGATCTTCATCAGTCTTGCAGCAGACAGTGTTTTGATCTGTATTCTTATTCCTAGCCAGTGAGCAATGCCAGCCATCATTTCCTGTGCATAGGAGCATTTAAAAAACAAATGTGCTCCTGTTTCCTCCTCTTCCTTACACAGTATGCATATTTGGTCTGTTACATTCATCTTCATGCTTCTCATTCTGTCTTTAGTTAGCAGTCTACCTTTCCAAGCTAACCATGCACAGAAACAATGTTTAGGAAGAGAGAATTTTCTCCAACACACAGCTGCTAGTATAAATTTCCCTTTGCTACCTCTCAGCCATCCATAGCCACTTCTAGCATCATACTTTTTCCCCTTGTTCCCTTCCCAGCTACCATTTACTACTCTTGCCTTTAATGCCTCTCTGATCTTCATCAACTTCTTCCAATGCCAGCTACAATCATTTGGAGGATCATAATTCCATAGACTCCTGCCTTTTAAGTAATATATGTGCATCCATCTAATCCAGAGGCTATCTTTCTTTGATTCCAAATCCCATAACTGTTTTCCCAACAATGCTTTATTCCAAGCACTTGATTCCTTTATGTTTAATCCTCCATCTCTCTTTGTATAATACAGATCATTCCAAGCTACCAAAGGAAGGCATTTTCCTATTTCTTTTTTCCCCCACAGGAACTTCCTACAACAAGAAGTAATTTCAATAAGAACAGATTGTGGAATAAGAAATATACTTGCCCAATAGTTGTGAAGGGTCATCAACACTGCATTGATTAACACTGTTTTTCCTGCATATGGTAGATGTCTGGATTCCCAATATTTCATCCTTGCAATTACTTTGTCCACTAGGTACTGGCAATCTGATTTACTCCATGCAGTTGGAGCAACTGGAAGTCCTAAATATCTCATAGGAAATGTTCTAATTTCAAATTCCATCACTTGCCTTATCACCCTTTGTGTACTTTCTCCTGATCCACCAAAATACAGATTAGACTTCCCTTCATTGATTGTCAACCCAGTGGTGCTTGCAAAATGATCCAGAGTTCCTTTAACCTTCCTGACAGTACTTATATCAGCTCCACAGAATATTAGCAGATCATCTGCAAAACTGAGTGATGTGATGTTCAGTTTTTCACAGTATGGATGTTTCACAAAACCGTCCATGTTTGCCACCAATTTAAAACTCCTGGTTAGGTATTCCATTACTAGCACAAAGAGCAATGGAGACATTGGATCACCTTGCCTTAATCCTTTTTGTCCTGAAAAATACCCAACACTAGTTCCATTAAGGTTCAGTGAATAAGTTGATGAAGTCACACATTCCATAATCCATTTTCTGAACCTCTCAGGAAACTTGTATTCTTGCAACATTTCCTCAAGGAACTCCCAGTGAACCGAATCATATGCCTTCCTTAAATCAACCTTCATCATACAAGAAGGCTTAGCTGATTTCCTGTTATACAATCTGATTAACTCTTGTGCCAGCAACACATTATGTAGAATTAATCTTCCCTTGACAAATGCTCCCTGAATGCACTCCACTAAATCTGGCAACACAATGCTCAATCTTTTGCATATCATCTTAGAGATGCATTTATATATGGTATTACAGCAGGAGATTGGCCTGTATTCTATGGCATTCTTTGGACTGGCATTCTTTGGTATCAGTGCTATCATGGTTGCATTAATCTGCTTCAGCATTTTCCCAGTTTTGAAAAATTCCAGTATGGCCTTGCTGAAATCATCTCCCACTATATTCCATGCCTTCTTGTAGAACCCACTGTTGTATCCATCAGGACCTGAGCTTTTAGTTTCATCAATGCTGAATAATGCTTCCTTAACATCTGCTTTGGTAAATTCCTTAATCAGCTGTACCTGTTGATCAAGGTTCAGTTCACTTCCTACTTCAAATATTTCAGTCTTGGCACTAGTTCTTGCCACTTTTTTCCCCAATAGCTCTTTGTAGTAACCTATGAAGTGTTCCTCCACTCTACATTGGTCTTCCACCAAATCCCCTTGTTCTGAAACAAAAGCCTTTATTCTATTCCTGCTTATTTTTTGCCTGATTGCTGCATGGAAGTACTTAGTATTCATATCACCATCACAAATCCACTTGTCTTTCAACTTCTGTGCCTAAAAACTAATTACTGCTCTTGTTGCTACAGTATATTCCATTACTGCTTCTTTTTCTAATTTATGTATTGCCTCATTCAATGGATCCTGCTTTAGGGCCTCCTGAATCTTCTCCATTCTTACTCTACATTCCTGCTCCTTCTTTTCTATATTGGCAAAATTCCTTTTATTAAACTGTCTCAGGATTTGTTTCAGTATCTTTTGCTTTCTCACTAGCTGGAATTGTTTAGTACCTTCCATTTCTATTTGCCAACCCTTCTCAACTGTTGATAAGAATTCTGGATTTTGTGCCCACATGTTGAAATATCTAAATGATCTTTTACTCTTTTGCATTCCTTCTCCCCATCTGATCAGCAAGGCATTGTGATCTGAGATTCCAACAGGCATGACTGTACAATATGTACCAGAATACCTTTGCATATCCATTTATCATTTACAAACACTCTATCCAGTTTTGAAAAAATTCTCATTGCACCAATTTGTTTGTTTGTCCAGGTAAATCTACCCCCATATGTCTGCATTTCCTACCATTCATTCTCTTCAACCAGATTCCTGTAAATCTCTGTATCAGCACTGACTTCATTCACTCCCCCAATCTTATCTTCTTTCTGTAATATGCAATTAAAGTCCCCCATAACAAGCCATTTTTCACACACATTAAGACTAAGTTGTCTTAACTCTACGCAAACATTTGCTCTCCTCAATGCAGTGTATTCATTATATACTACTGTCAGGGTGAAAGATTTAGTTC